ATGGATGGATGATTGATGGATGGATGGATGGATGGATGATTGATGGATGGATGATTGATGGATGGATGGATGGATGATTCATGGATGGATGGATGATGGATGATGAATGGATGGATGATTGATGGATGGATGGATGGATGGATGATTGATGGATGGATGGATGATGGATGGATGGATGATTGATGGATGGATGGATGGATGGATGATTCATGGATGGATGGATGATGGATGATGAATGGATGGATGATTGATGGATGGATGGATGGATGGATGGATGAATAAATGGATGGATGGATGAAACAGAAAAACAAACATTTCAGTGTGTGTTTTATTGTGACACTCTGACCGGAAGTGTCTTTGTGTATCCGGTTTAGCTTGACGGTGGGCAGAAACGAGTCTGTTCTGCTGCAGTTTGACTCGTTAAAACGTTTGTTTGTGTGTTTGTTTGTTTGTTTGTTTGTTTACCGTCAACATGTCGCACTCCGTCATCACAACAACACCGACCGGCGGAAGGTCCTCCGAGGACGGAGTCCTGAACCTGGGCTACACCCGGACCATCCCGGGGGTTCTGAAGCTGGGACAGCTGGTGAGCGGGTCCACCCCGACGCGCAGCGGGCTTTGGGGTGGGGTCGGCCGGGTGATGGGGGCTCGGACCGTCCGGGTTAGCTGCTGTTAGCGGGGCTTTACCCGGGAGTGTCCCCGGAGCTGGAGCCTCTCTGAGCGGGAAAGAGTCGCTGCTGGGACCGCTCCGCGGGCTGGAGGACCTGACTGTGTGGACCAGGGTGGACTTGATTTAGCTTCCGGTTCCTGACCCGAGTCCAGACAGAACCCGAGAGACCAGGACCGTCCTCTGGTGGGGATAGAGCCCCTTACAGACTGGACCCTGGACCTGTTTACTGTATTTCATGTTGTGGGTCCAGTCTGTGGTTCTGGACTGGACTCCATGATGGCTCAGTTGGCAGAGCTGCTGCCTCTCAGCAAGAAGGTTGTTGGTTTGAATCCCGGCTCGGGACCTTTTGGGCAGAGTTTGGGTGTTCTTTCCGTGCATGTGTGTGTTTTCTCCAGTTTCCTCCCACAGCAGCCTGGTAGCTTTAAACTGTCCCCTGTGTGTCCCTGGGAGGGACTGGAGACATGTCCAGGGTGTCCCCCGCCCCACTGCTGGGTGTGGGCACCAGAGACCCTGCAGGAACCGGGTTAGGATGGTGGTAGTTTCTGGTCTTTGTTTTTTGTGTTTTTTTGTTGGGATGTGAGTCCTGGTTCTGGTTTTTGTGTGTTTATTTGTTGGTTTGTGTGTTTATTTGTTGGGATGTGAGTCCTGGTTCTGGTTTTTGTGTGTTTATTTGTTGGTTTGTGTGTTTATTTGTTGGTTTGTGAGTCCTGGTTCTGGTTTTTTGTGTTTATTTGTTGGTTTGTGNTATTTTCTGAAGTCTCAAACATTAAATGTCTTTTCGTTCTTGTGGATCTGAGCAGCTTGTAAAAGGAAAAGTGTTTATTTGACGTTTTATCTTTCATGAACATCACAAACTCTTTCTCTGTTCCTTGTTCTAATTCTAACTGACGGTACCGGTCCGTCCAGTTTCASAAAGGTTTCCTTCTTTCCAACAAGCTGTTCATAAAACAGAAACAAAAAGCATTTGTTGGTTCAAACCAAAAAACAAATCAACTCATATCAACTTTGGTCACTTTGGTTTCAGCTACATTTTTAAAACTCTTCAGCTGCACAAAATTACAACAAAGTCTGAGGTTCTGTTGACCGCCTTGTTTCATCTGTCAATATTTTCTTAATTTATAATAATAATAATTATGTTATAATATTATTATTCATATTAATATTTTATGATTATTAACAATAATAACAGTCTAAATGTATCAGATGATGTCAGAACAGGTGGAGGAACAGAAGCTTAAGTTTTATTTGTTAAAGATAATCTGAAGGTTTCAGGTCTGCTTGGTCCACATTCTGCTGAAAACATTTGGTCTTTGGTTCTGGAACCATCAACAGGACCTGATCTGACCTGAGAGTCAGGTTTGGTCTGGATGTGGACCAAGACCACTGTTATTATTTAAAGACAATTAAAGGCAAACAGAATGTTCAGTGAAGTCAGAAACAAACTCAGTACAGATTATAGAACAGGAGTGATGTGCTCGCTGCTCCTGGTAGCAATTCAAAACCAAGGATCAGGTCCAGTCAAAGTCAGGTCATTAATAACATAACGAGCATTACATCATATCGATTACATCATAACTYTTACATTCTTTCTTTATTACAAAACAAAAGAACCGGTTCTGTCAGGCTTTTCCGAAAAAGTCTTGTGTCCACAAATAAACTTTACAACATACTTCACTTTGAACCGCATGCCGAAGTAAACAGATTATGAAGTCAGATTCCAGACAGATTATTAATCCAGATTCCAGAACTAAAACAAGAAGACTGAATAACATCTAAACCTTTAATCCAGATGGGACTGAACCTTACTGTAAAAAATATTTAATCTAGACAAGACTAAACCCTACTGTAAAATAATCTTTAATCCAGACAGGACTAAACACTACTCGAACCCTATATTTTATTTTATTACTTAGACTTGAACTTGATATTGGGATTACAGGAACAGCTCTAAAATAGAAAAAAGTAACTATGTTTTTAACTGCAGTATCTATCACCCTCATTGTACTGTCTGTTCCGAGACCTAATTTGAAAAAGAATACAGGTTTTCAAACTGTAGGGACCGACTCCACACCAGATTTGCTTGACTCAAAACACGGATTGTAGAGACTGGCTCCAGACGACTCTATTTCTCAAGGGATCCACCTTGATTGTTCCCATTGATTAAAGAGCCTGGTGTGTGTTTGTCCTGAAGAACTCTTTTGTTCTCTCTGAGGCCCAATTCCACGACCGTGTGGGTCGGAGAGATGTTGACACCAAAACACGTACTTCAAATTTCAAACGGAAACTTACTGTTATACTGCTACTACTTCTGTCAGGTAACATCGAACCCAACCCTGGGCCTGAAAAAACCACGCAAAATGAAATCACCACACCAGCTGATTTCAAAACTAGGTCTGGGCATAATACATCTGAATGTTAGAAGTCTCTTACCTAAATTAGATGCAGTTAAAATCTGGGTACAGAACACAAATGCAGATGTAATCGTCTTATCTGAATCATGGCTCAGTAAAGCAGTGGCCGATAAAGACATCAATATTAARGGCTACAATGTCTTTAGATGTGACCGAACCAAGAGAGGTGGTGGAGTTGCCATTTACATTAAAAAAAAGTTCAAAGTTATCCCTGTCTTCATGCACAATCAGCAAACAATTCGAGCTTCTTGCCCTAAAACTAGTCTTATCTGATGATCACAGTATGACTGTAGTGGGTTGTTACAGACCTCCTTCAGCCTAAATGAAGCTCTATCATCTCTGAATAATTTCCTGATTGGGCTAAATACCAAGGAGCTTCTGTTGGTTGGTGATCTCAGCTTGAACTGGCTGTCCTCTACATCTGATAATCTGAAATCTATCTGCCAATCTTTAAATCTAACTCAATTAATTCAAACATCAACACGCCCAAATATAAAAAACCCTGAAAAATCAACTTTACTGGATCTTATACTGACAAACTTACCTCACAAATACACAGACACAGGAGTATTCGTAGATGATCTCAGTGATCACTGCACCGTCGCAGCCATAAGAAACTGCAAATCACCAAAAGTGAAACCCACCATAATCTTCAAAAGGGATTTAAAACATTTTTGTGAGCAGGCTTTCCTACATGATCTAGCAAATTTTGAGTGGAGGAGAACTTCTTTGATATGTAATGTAGAACTCGCTCTGGATTACTTTTATGAAGGACTTAGAAACATAATCAACGCACATGACCCATACCGCAAATACAGAGTAAAAGGTCGTACAAATCCATGGTTTTCTCCAGATATAGAAATCTGCTCAAAGAAAGGGATGCTGCGTGGGCTAAGGCCAGAAAATCTAAATCTGAATGTGACTGGACCAATTTCCGGCATCTTAGGAACAAATGCACGACTACGATTAGAAGTGCAAAATCAAACTACTTTCTGACCGAGTCGTCCAAAAATCTAAACAACCCAAAAAAGTTCTGGCAAACAATAAAATCAATTTTGGGTCAGATAACAACTACAAATTTACCAAATTCCATAATTATCAACTCTGGTATTTCTCCAGTTTGAGCTTCTCTCCACAGGCTCCCTGTCAAATTCAGAACAGAATTTAAAATATTCCTCCTAACATACAAAGCTGTTAACAACCAAGCTCCATCATATATTAAACATCTTATTGTTCCATCCTTTCCTAACAGAGCACTTCACTGTCAGACTGCAGGTTTACTTGTGGTTCCTGGAGTTTCTAAAAGTAGAATGGGAGTGCAGGAGGTTTCTACCTGTTAGAGGCAGTTTTTCCTCTCCACTGTCTCTGTGCTGCTCAGATTCAACACAATCTGCTGCTTCTTTAGATTTACTGTTTTTGTTTACAGGCCTGACATGTTTGTTGTGTCTTAGTGNTTAGTAAACAGATAATAATTTGTGTCCTTTAGTAAACAGATAATAATTTGTGTCCTTTAGTAAACAGATTATAATTTGTGTCCTTTAGTAAACAGATTATAATTTGTGTCCTTTAGTAAACAGATTATAATTTGTGTCCTGCCATTAACAGATTATAATTTGTGTCCTGTCATTAACAGATTATTATTTGTGTCCTTTAGAAAACAGATTATAATTTGTGTCCTTTCATTAACAGATTATTATTTGTGT